GTAAGTAGTTGTCACCGAGCCACTGATCAATGGAAGCTAAACATCAGCTGCCTCCTTCTGTTTTTAATCCTGACTGTCTTTATACTTCCTCGAGCATCTTATCCATCTTGTCCTAACACCTTCATCTCTCATCCAAAGCACTCTTCTGTGAACTGTTGAAAAGTGTGAAACACAGTCATCCTTTCTGTCTCCAGATTCACCGTCACATGCTCACAAACATCAGCAGCGTCCAGCTCGTGGACAGTTTGTAAAATCTCCGTCGCAGGCGTCAGTTTCCAGCAGTGAGTCTGTGAGACGTGTGTGTCTGTCCCAGTTTATCAGCTTCAATCTGCCACTACTGTGTGTGTGTGTGTGTGTGTGTGTGTGTGTGTGTGTGTGTGTGTGGTAGACAGTAGGTCAGTGTCTGTGTCCTCGGGCTCTGGAGCACCACACAGCTGCTCCCTGTTTTCACGCTTCTACAGACAAAATGATACCAACTCACAAAACACTTCCCATGAGTGCGTCTGTGTGTGTGTGTGTGTGTCTGTGTGTGTGTGTGTGTGTGTGTGACACAGGACCGCGGGACGTTGCTGTTTAAATGCCTCCATCTGCTCTTTAGTTAGAAATGTGATCTCCGAGTGGATTATAATTCCAGAGGTGTCACATCTGTCTAAACACGTTCACGTTTCATCACTTTGCTGCTTACAAACATGCAGAAGTTCAATATTTTCTGTTGTTGCTCTTTCAAAAGCTCAGCTTTCACATCTCACGTTTGCTCCGTTTGCTCGTTAAACTGAGCGCCAATATCGATCTGGTGTCTCTGACTCGATGCTGTGAAGGCAGCGTCACACTCACGTCGCTCTGTGTCTTGCTCAGCTCTTTGGCGAACACGGTCTCGATGGTTTGGGGCATCTGGGCATAGAGACTGCAGCCGGCTTCTTTCTTGCTCTCCTCCCTGTAAGCTTTCTGCGACACAAACACGTGAACCACATCAGGACGTCTTTTAAAAAAGCAGTGCAGCATTTTGCTGTCTCACCAGCATTTATTTTAAAGTTCTGCATAATTAGAGATTTTCATAATTAAATATTTATTATAATGAGGCTGATGCATTAGAAATCTGCTCAAACAATATGATCACGGTCTAACAGAATGTAATGATGCCTGACTTACACAGTTAAGCTGATTTTAATGATTTTCATCTCTAAACTGGAAACACTGCACCGAGCTACAGACTGATTAAACAACAACATAAAGTGCAGCGGCACATGTGTACAGGTAAACAAATGGAAATGCCCTGTTGGTTTGCTGAACAGCAGTCGTTCCCAAAGGGTGTCCCGTGATCCCACGAGGCAAAAATAAAGCAAATCCTGCCTGAAAACTCACAAACATCCTTTTTATAAGAAACAACTCTGCTATCATAGCAAAAAACCTTCATGCCAATGATACTGTGATGCACAGAAGATCTGAAAAGCAGGTAAATCTCACTGTTAACTTGTTGTTCTGCATCAGTCTCCAACTAGAGCTGTACAAACATTCACAAAATAATTAAATGTGTGTTATAAATACAACATCAGCACTTCTGTATCAACACACCGGTACTTCAAAGGAAGTGTGTCGTGATATTTGGCCCCGCCTCGTTCAAAAACAGCAAACGGGAACAATCCCGCCTGTGAAGCGAACCTGCTGCTGACTCACAACATGCTCATGAAAGCTCAGAGAGCAGTGACTGTTTAAACGTACCTCGCTGTGCAGCTGGCTCTGCTCCTTGGCATGCTGAGTTTCTTTGGTCTCGGGCAGCAGAGAGTACAGACACTTCACCATCTCCTTCTTACCCGCCTCTTTGTATTTATTCTGGGCGATGAAAACAAGACAGGAGATCAATAACTGCTCAGTGACACTGAACACACGCCTGCGCCTCACACTGCATCTGATTTCATCTGTGTTTGAATAGATTTGGAGCTTGCACCGACATCTTTATAACAGAAGTATGCAGCATGCAGAATATACAGCTGTTTGCAGATGACACTCAATTCTAACACTGAAAAACCTGAAAGAAAATCAGCCTAAATCCAAATTAAAGACCTCCATATTTATGATTTTTAGGCTATTGGAGCCTCTGTGATAAAGTTTGCAGTAAGTTCATGAAGCAAAAACAGCAAACACAAAGCTTTTTTATTCCCCACATTCACAGAGTTGTATTTGTTTTGTTTTTATACATGTTTAATTTTTAATGTGCAATCAAACTGTAAACACACACAGTTCCCACCTCGCTGTGCGTCTCAGCCATCTCTTTAACAAACTGAGTCTGCAGAGTTTCAGGCAGCAGCGAGTACAAAGTGTTGGGCAGATCCTCTTTGTCCTTCTTGTAGTTTGACTAGACGAGCCAGACGCACAGAGGAAAAACACACTGAGAGATATATTTTCTATATTTCTGAGAGAAGCAGTAAATTTACGTACCATGAACAGA